GAGAGAGAGAGAGAGAGAGGGGGAGGGAGGGAGGGGAGGAGGGAGGAGGAGGGAGGGAGGGAGGGAGAGAGAGGAGGAGAGGGAGGAGAGAGAGAGAGAAGGAGGAGGAGAGGGAGGGAGAGAGAGAGAGAGAGAGAGAGAGAGAGAGAGAGAGAGAGAGAGGAGAGAGAGAGAGAGAGAGAGGGGGAGGGAGGGAGGGAGGGAGGGAGGGAGGGAGGAGGGAGGAGGGGAGGAGGAGAGGAGGGAGGGAGGAGGAGGGGAGGGAGGGAGAGGGGAGGCAGGCAGGGAGGCAGGGAGGGAGGGAGAGAGGGAGAGAGGGAGAGAGGAGGAGATAGGGAGGGAGGGAGGGAGGGAGGAGGGAGGGAGGGAGGGACAGAGAGACAGAGAGAAAAAGAGAGACAGACAGAGAGACAGAGAGACAGAGAGACAGAGACAGAGACAGAGAGAGACTCAGGTAAAGCCATTGCACAGTGAATCTCATTATCTGTCCTTCAGGACTCTGTCAGCTCCTCCGAGCTACTTGCAATCCTGCCATGTTTACAATCACGCATCTTACTCTCTTGTCGACATGTTTCCTTTGTCGAGGTAAATTCCCTGCGGAAACAAACTAATTCTGTGCCATTATTGCATCAGGCTTGTTGAACATGACGTGTACAATTGTGTCTCGGTAGCTCCGATCGATACCGAGTGTGCATCTCAGCCAGCTCGAGTTACAGATCCGGAGTACAGCAGCGTTGGCCATGCATTGCATTGGGCACAAATCCGCCGGCAGGGACTGACCAAGACCGAGTCTGAGGACAGTGAGGTCTGCCAGGAACGCTGGCTGAACTACATCATACTTGTACATGTAGCTTGGGCAGCATGCTTCTGCCTTTATCGTCATTGCGACGACGGTCGTCGTGCGGCGTTGAAAAGCGGGACTGGAAGAATGCAAGAACGGGTCTTTTCGGAATGTGAAAGGAAGAATGGAGAAAATGTTGAACGGTCTCTGCTGGGATGACGGCTACATCATAGCTCAGTGGTCAGAGCATCGCTGCCTCAAGCGAAGTCCCTGGTTCGATTCCTGGTGGTGTCAGTCATCTTATTCTTCAGACTTTTCCCTTTTCCCTTCCCTCAACTGATGAAGAGAAGAATGATAACATTACACTTCTACAGAGAGGTTCCGCATTTCGAATTTCGCAATGGTTTCTTCGACTGCTGGGTTCGAGGGTCGACGAAGAGGTCGAACTTTTGCGAAAGTCGAACGAAAAGAAGACGCAGAGTCGAGAACATTCCGAAATTCGAAATGCAGAAATAACTAACTTTCTCTACCTTGAAAGTAACAAGTAAGCGCTCGCCAGTCCAGAGTTCGCAGCGGAACAAGAATGCCACGTTTTCGGGAATCATCGGTCCTAGTACCTGATCTGAACGGATCATTGTTTTGTTTCTCACGGTTCCTTCCATCCGCACGCCGGTACGCGGTACCTGCAATGTACATGTACAGCGCTGGCAACTGAAATCCGACACCTTATCGATGAGTTCACATTCTAGCGGTCTCTATTTCGTAGTTTTTTCTATCCTAGATCCTGTGTTGGGTCTTGGCGATGTGAGCGCACCGCGCTCAGGAGTCGGATTTCAGTTGCCAGCACTGTACATCATGTACATGTACATTACCCATATAAAAACCGCTCTGTGAGCGGTTCTGAAAAACCTTTACTGGTGCAGCCCCGTCGTAAAAGTAAGAAATTAGAACTGGCGCATTGTCCTCCCAAATGTGAACTGATCCACCTAAATCGCGATTGACGGGACCCGAACGCACCAGTAGCACGAGAGTTCCTACCTGTGGATGCAGCTGGGGACGCTGTCCATAGCCAAAGCCAAAGCGGCAAAGGTGGGCTTCGGGGTAGATCTAAGTGTTGTATGGTAACTTGATCAGCGCCGACGCCGGCTGTGATCCTGTGCCCTCCCGACCTCGTGCTACTGGTGCGTTCGGGTCCCGTCAATCGCGATTTAGGTGGATCAGTTCACATTTGGGAGGACAATGCGCCAGTTCTAATTTCTTACTTTTACGACGGGGCTGCACCAGTAAAGGTTTTTCAGAACCGCTCACAGAGCGGTTTTTATATGGGTAATTTCAGTTCTTTTTCTGTTCCCTCCCCCACCCCAGCCCAGCTCCGAAGATAAACATGGTGAGCACACGCGCGCGATGCACTGTACGTAGCCATGCGACTGCAGTAGCACACTGATACATTCCAGCCCTCCCCACCTCGCTACCTCGCACACAGACACCTTGTGACAAACACGCACATGCACATGGCACACACACACATGGGCACGCACACACATACATACACACACACACACACACACGACCCAAACAGGAAATTCTTGATGAACATTGTATAATGCCATGCAAAGCAGTGGCCACCATACTTCAGGAAGTCAGTTGTGAAACAAAAATAATTCAACTACAATGTGTAGGTAAGCTGGCGGCCAAAGCACAACATTGCAAACCGTGATATTTGCCTAAGGATTGCAGTTTGCAGACCACACCATGGAAGCAATGAATACAGAATTATTGTAATGTCATACAAAGACAAGCAAAGAAGTGGCCACCATACACCAGAAACTTGCAGAAAGTCACATATCCAACAGATAGAGAAGTGAACAGCATCTGGTACAGCCCACACAAAACCAAGCTGACCTGATACTCGTCCGAAGATCGTAAGTGGCAGATCCTTTTCAACGATAGCATGCAGGTGTACGTTACACGCATGGACAAAATCTGACCGTGTCACCGGCATACATTGTCATCACATGCATACCCCACAAGTTACACACATGCACAGTAGAAGCACAATAAAAGCAATGGAAAAATATGAAGGGGCTGCTGAAGCATCTTCACACTTCAATTTCAGACTTCGGTGTGGTCGTCACGGGGTGATATACCTGCAAGATACAAGTGATACAGAAAGAAAGCATAAGGTCGTGAGGTAGGCTATGAGACACCACAAATGGGTCACCTACATGTATGTTCAGGGCTGGTGTACACATACACGCAGAATTATCATAATCGAGAATTTTCCAAACTACAGAAGAGCAATGAAATCCATTTGCATGCACAGGAGCAATTTTGCAGTATGATGCGCAGCTCGGGAATACACCTGTTGGCAATGGATTACATTCCCATTGGAGTTCCCATTCACGTGGGATTCACAGAAGCAATTTGGCAGTGTGCTGCGCAATGCGACACGACCTGCGATTCTGCGTGCGATGCAAACTCGCACAAAATACCATTCACAGAATCACGACAAGACGTCAGCGATGCAACAGCGCCTTGCTGACGTGCCTCAAGTCAAAGCTCAATGAGAATGCGTTTGTCGGTTACAACTGGTACAAATGTACAAGCAATTTCTGAAAATGCTCCTGTGAATCCTGCTTTAAGCAGTGCAGGAATGTCCCTCCTCCGCTTCCCCCCCCCCCCCCTCCACACCCTCAGGGAACTTGACAAGGAAGGGTGGTCTTCGCGGTTCCCAACATCTATTTGCAGTTTCTGGTCTCCACTATGTCTTTTCAATGGGGACTTGTACGTACCATAAAAGCAAGCCTAAAAAATGAACAGCACATTTGCCGTTCCCCCACTGGGGAGGATGTGTTCCACAGCTATCCTGACAAGATATTCCGAGAAGCGGTGCTGAGTGCAATGCATTGTGAAACTGAAAAAGCTGACCAAGCCGCGGCATATAACGTCTAAACTTCAATTGTAGTTCGCCAGCTGACTACTTTCAGACTCCATGTAGGTCGGAGTACATCTGGCTTAAAAGTTGACAACAACGGCGCACGCACATAAGCAATGGCCACCTTACCTGTACTGTAGCAGTACTTCCGAGTTCCCGTATGGGAGTTCCATCACTGTGTGTGCAATAGCAGCCTCATCGGACCAGTTCAATGCGACGCGGACAGTCCGACACTGAGGAGGACATTGAAGAAGTCAGAGACAGGAAGAATGGTTGATTTACAATTCAACTAGCAAGGCTGAACACCCACGAAGTTCCACTCACCATTGTGCCGTCCTTCTTGGAATGCAGAAATAACGCTTCCTCTCGAGAACGCAGCCTACGACAGAGAAAAAGGAAGGAGCATCGCCATCGGCATTGGTCCTCTGCTATCACCGATTGCCGAGTTGCACAGTTCACTCTAACAAGACTGAGGATGTTCAAGAACTCCCCATCCATACCATTATTGGAGTAAGAGGAAAGGTCAGATTGCCTAGTTCCTAGGGCCTAGCATTCCTGGATGCCAGGAGGTGCTGCCCCCCCCCCCCCCGCCCCTCCCTTCTACTGCCTGGACAGGGCAACATATGTGACAGCGTTCACCAGTACAGTCGGAGGAGAACATGGGAGAAGGCAAAAAGGGCAACACACATGAATCCCTTATAAGCAAGCAGTGGCAACTCTAGCACCAGCAATGTTGGACTTACATCCCAGCCATTGCCGCCGGATTCAGCGGCTTCTTCTTCTTCGTCTCCCATCTTGGAAGCACTCCTTTCCGTAAGTTCAGTCCTGGGATCGGGAGTACAGTCGGAGGAGAATGTCGGAAAAGGCAAAAAGGCAACACACATGATTCCCTTATAAGCAAGCAGTGGCAACTCTAGCACCAGCAATGTTGGACTTACATCCCAGCCATTGCCGCCGGATTCCCACGCTTCCTCTTCGTCGTCTTCCAGTTCCCAGGTTCCATCTTGCAAATACTCCTTCCCGTAAGTACATTGTAAGTGCAGTCCTGGCCTGCGTGGACATGGTGGATGCGCAGTACATTGACGATGGCGGAGATGGAGCAGGTCAGGGAGCCCTATAGGGCCCCGAGAGCAGATTGTGGCCAAATTCGGGACGATGCCGGACGCCAGTCAGTATGAAGTAGCGAATTGCGGACCGCCACGTAGATTGGGGTCGCGGGGTCATAATCCACGGGCATTACTCGTACGTTGCTCCAAAAAAGGGCACTGCACTGTTCCACAGTTGCTGTTAGCGGTCGCCAAAGGCACTTGGTAGGCCGGTAATTGGGTCACGTGTCAACAAAGTGTCAACAAAGTGTCAACAATGTGTCGACCACGTGTCTTTAGCGGTACACTATTTTTTTGTGTCCCCAAACTGAAAACATCGAGCACCAGTATGGAAAGGCTTTAGACAGAAAGCCTTTCCAATGTAGCTATTACTACAGTACATGTGTCAACCCTTTTTTCTTTGAGTGTTGCCTGGAATAAACTTCCTGAAGATATTCGTTCACTCTCTACAACAGCGAAATTTAGTATCGCTGTTCGTCGGTATCATTCGCAATCTATGTTTTCTTTGAAAGGTATTCCTGACTTTTGTGTCTAGGCTAACCACATCTATGATAGTTTCAATAGTTTGTGTATATGTCAGTTATAGTAGTCCGCAATGCTGCTTTTCTAATTCTCATTATGATTAGCATGCAATGTACTACCCGAAGTACTGAATTTACTTCTTCTGCTCTCTATATTCTAATGTATCTTCTACCTCTTCTCCCTTACGAACATACTTTCTCATTTTCCATACTTATATAGGAGACTCCCTTCGATAGGCATCTATTTGCCTCTGGAGGATCCGTGAAATAAAAATCAATCAACCAATGTGTTATATTATTAGTTACTATTACCTGTAGCAATCTATTCGTTCAAATGGACATACAGTAGCCGGCCCGATCCAATGTCTCGCGTCCTACGAAAGGCAAGCGCAAGCATGCACCAGCAAGACAAACGGAAATTAATTACATGTACTAGTATTCCAGTTCAGTGCATGGCAGGGCCTAGGGAGGGCCTTATGGCTTGTTGGTGCCCGACAGGTTAGGCAGAGGGCTAACCTGAAAGGCGCAAACAAGCCATTACCACGATTACTACCATTACCATTAGGCCCGATCTGCCATGCACTGACTAACTACAGTAAAACCTGTCAAGGCGACCACTCGGATAATGCGACCACCTGTACTAGAAGACCACTGCAACCAGTACCAAGGGATGCTATTTCCAGTCAAATGACCCTGGATAAGGAGACCACCTGGAAACAGAGACCACATTTTGAAGGTCCCTTGAGCGGTCGTCTTAGACAGGTCTCACTGTACATGTATTACTTCGAACCAGGTTACCATGGTTACTATCACTGTATCAGCCCCCTTGCATAGATAGAATAGAAGCTGACCAGGCAGTTAATTTTCGAGCTATAATTATCATGATAGTCGTTAGTATTAGTATTTAGTATTTATTTTATTTACCATCGGATGCCTCAACAGTGATACACACAACTCTTAAGAGGGCCGATAACGGGATAAGTGGAAAGGAAAGGAAAAGAAAAGAAAAAAAAGAAAAAAAATTGGAATTCAGACATCAAGCAGTACAGTAATCAAACACCAAGTCAACTTCAATCTTAGTACAAGAACTATCAAGATCATGGAGAAACTCAACAGATTCCAAAAAGAAGGTCAAAATACTTCTTAAACGCCACTGGGTCTTTAAAAAGATCCCTGAGTTGGTTTGCAAATGTAGAGGTACGGTGGTGTCTGCGCCACTCGGCAGGTAGTGTATTAAAGAAAATTGCGGCACGATTAGAAAAAGAATTTACTCCATCAGTTGTCCGGTGCTTAGATATGGCAATGGAAGCATTAGAGTGGCTTCTAGTTCTAAGGCTTGTTGTGATCGGTGGAAATAATTCCGTAAGGGTAGGCAGTGAGATGATGACATGATTTCTATGAATAAACTGGGCAAAGTTGAGAATCATATAGTGTTCAAATGGATAAATCGCCAATGTGGTCAATAATGGCGTGATGTCGTCCTGTGACTTAGCACCACAGGCAGCTCGCACAGCACGGCGGAACACAGTAGAGAGCCTTTGGCGGTCCTTAGCGGACAGCTTCGTTACAAAACACGAACAACAGTACAAAAGATCAGGTAGAATGACTGATACAATAAACGTTGGCAAGTGAGTGCCAACGAAAGACCTAGAACGCATCATACTTTTGTACCCTTTCCCAAAGGTGCTCGCCCTTTTTGGCCCTTTTTGGAAAAAGCCCGTTTCTTTCGCCCTTTTTGCGTTTTTTTGGTGAATATCGCCCTTTTTGAGCTTTTTCAGCTGAAAAAGTGCTGAAATCTGTTTGCTCATGCATGCGATCACAGACATTCGCTGCACAGTGCAGTTTCCGAGTGCTCCATGGCCGTGGCACGCCGCTTTTTTGGGGGGCAACAAGTAACAAAGACTTTTGGTGAAGCTTGTACCCGGTGTACTCAATGCTGTAAAAAGTGGGCTTTTTGAACTTTTAAAATACTTCCTGTTTTGCCTTTCGTGGACCCATAAATGGAAGAGTGCATATTCATTTCTCAGCTTGGGTTCATATCTGAACATGTACATGTATCATGGCTATGCTTCACTGAAAAGAGAGCACTTTTTCAGCATATTTTGAGGGACGCGATGGGAAGGGCTATTCGATACCCAGTATACCGGTAATACAAGTAGTTCGATCTTGGGTTTTTAACTTTTTATAGGGTTCCGCCAGCTGTGGTAGGCGAACTATCAGACAAAGGAATGTCGTACAGATCAAAGAGTACAGTACAGGGGGCCATTACCGTACACATTTCTGAAATGCGTAGATTTTAGTGGCACATGCACCGTACATTTTTTGCAGAGTTCATTATCAGCACCGTACTACGAATAATGCGTACAATGTCAATGATGTAGAGATCTGTGGTGCACCAGTGTAGTGCAGTTCAAGTGTGCCTGTGGAGTGATCTGCCGAAGGCGCAGTGTTCCCGGCCTCATCGCCATCGGTGACCCGAGTTTTTAGATGCAGATGAATGGCCAGCAGATAAGTCGTTGACGTGACGTGACGTGCGTGATTATTACGCTGTAGCTGATCGGCTATTTATGCAAGTACGGGTACCGGTACAGACAGTCACAATGATAAACTAAAACTAGGGAAATACCGGAGAGAAATAGGATAGAGCTAGAGAACATTGAACCAGCTACGATACGTGTATTGTGAGCAAACTGCGTGTAGATCGTAGAGCGCGAAGCCATTTTCGGTACTGAGCGACTGAAGAATGGCCGAGGAATCTGCGCAAGCCGCCGCGGGGAATCCTTTCTCTGACGCGGATTTCCAAGAGCTGCTCCGCCAGGAGCGCAGCAATTCGGCTGAAGACGGCTGGACGCTGGCTGACGACTCGCCAGGGTGTGTTGTGTGGAAGAAGGTCTCCTCTGAGCATAGCGTGCACTTAGTCAAGGTAAGGAGTAGACGTCGGCGGATAATGCTAGAAAATCACACGGATTATGCTTTTCAGTATGCTGGCACTATGCTCTGAAAATCACTAAACTTATGCTCAAATTATGCTTCATGACACTGTGCTCTTTCATGTTTATAATGTCACTAAAATGTATAGAATGTGTACTCGACATCAAATGCGGACTTCCGGAGAAAAGTGCATGGAAGAAGATGAAGATCTAGTCTCAGCTATGGAGAAGGAACCAGGAGTACAGCAATAGGCACTGCAACACCAATACAAGCATAATAATTATGTACAGAAATAATAGAATAGAATGCAGAGTCACTGCGCTACAGTGACTTATGCATGCCACTGCATTGACAACATGACTTCAGATATGCATTTGGGAGAATGATGTGTAAGAAATTATTTGAAAACAATAACAGAAATACCAGTCGAACAGTGGCAGCTTTGGCTGCTGGAGAGATCCTACATGCATGTACTGATGAACTCTGGACGGTGAACCTTTGACCTTTGACGCCCTAAACATTACACATCTGTTACATTTATAGTGTAGATCAGGCCCTTTCATGGAGCCGTGCCAGATATAATAATAAAAACGTTATTAGGATGACCCAAAGGCAAATCGCCTATCGAGGGGTTCACCGCGTTGAATGGTTGTGGTATGACAAAGCAAAGGGGCAACCATTGAGTGTGTGTGTGTTGGGGGGGGGGGGAGGAGAGGGAGTTTCGAACTATGCACAGTGAAGGGATAATTGCATGTACATGACCAAGGATAGGGTATACCGGACAAATATATACCGTGGTATGGTACGACTCCTTGCCGAGTCCCGGGTGTAGATCTATTTACAGGAGGATTCCCTTGCCTTTGTAACAAACGGACTCTGGACGGTGAACTTTTGACTTTTGAGGCCCTAGCGGTTTTATGCAGCAGTTATGCTGAAGGATCAACTATGCTCGGCAATGCTATTTTTCAGAAAGCCGTGATTATGCTCAAAATTATGCCAGCATTATCCGCCGGTGACTAGTAAGGAGTACTACAGTCCATTTCAAAACTATATACGCGTACCTAGGCAAAAACCGTTATGCCAGCATCTATACCACATAAAATCTGTGATCACTTTGTGCATAATTTTTTCCAAATTGGGCGTCTGTTAGCCAATCGTTTATGAACTATAATTATGAGAGTAATTGTGGAGCGGACCTGAGCAATATTCCGAAAACTATTCTCAAAAAGTTCCAGCCAAATTTGAAATATTTCAAAAACACTACGCGTCTATAGTTTTGAAATGGACTGTAAGGACGCAACCGCACGCTGACAGCAAACCAAACTTGCAGACATCGGGCGCTTTCGATTACACGCTTACACAATTCTGGATCTGGGTTTTTGTAATTCTCGAATCATCCCCAGAATGTACGGATTGCGGCCGTGTAAACGAACGACCGGAATTCACATGCATTTTTATTCATGTCATGTCACAAACAAAATTGGTCGTAAAAAGACATCACGTACACCCTCGCGCGCACGTGGACCCAGCATCGCGTGCCAGTCCGTCCCGGTGAAGGCTCCATGTTGGCAACAATATTGGGCTTCGATAAAGCGGAATGCGTGTGCGAAAGGACCACCCAAAATGATCTGGTAGTACTAATAATCAGCTCCCAGCGGAAACTCAACTGCGGCAATTGGCGTTTCGAGAGGACAAAAGTAGCAACTACATGCAGTTGTAGCCCTGCTTTTGCACCATGCCGGCCAGGGAGGCTCTTCATGTGCTTGCGTCATGCATGACCAGACCGGTAACAATTCTGGCGCCAGAATTAGAGAAATTCCGCCCTCTCTTCAGAATTGATGGAATTGGATCAAATCAATTCTAACAACGGAGTTTGTGTAATTGAACTGTGCATCAATAATAACCAATTCTAGAATTGACCGAAATGTGTGTAATCGAACGCGTCCATTGTTTGAAACTTAGCGCTCGTACTTTCATCTCTAGCCTGCGGTTCCATTCGTAGATGTACCAAGCAGGAGAAATATGGTGTACTGTCACGATTTGGTATTCAGTGACAAAGAAACCTGCCTAAGGCGACCGCTCGAGGGACCTTACGAAAGGTGGTCCCCGTGTCCAGGTGGTCGCCTTATCCAGGGTCATTTGACTAGGAATAGCACCACACATTGGTCCCAGTTGCGGTGGTCGGCTTATCAGAGTGGTCGCCTGGACATGTTTGACTGTAGTTGGAGTATTGCCAGGCCAGCGCTGCATCCTCACCGAATCATGGAGACAGAATTTCACGTTCTAGTTAGCTCATTTGATTGCACTAAAATGTATGTTACGGGCACAAGACGCGAAGTGGATATCGGCTTATTTTGAATAAAAAATGATAAAACTGTGCCACCTTCGTTGCCCCGGAAACTACCACCGTGATGTAGAGCATGTGTCGGCAATCCCTTCCCCTTTTGTGTACGTGCTTTTCATTTTCTTTTTTCTCTTCTTCCGTGGTTGGTCACACCCTCTCCTCAATTCAATTGGCTGTCTTGACATGCGACGAGTTGCAGACATGAATAAATACCGTATAAGCAGAAATATTCGTCTGGAATTTAATTTCGTCTTTTCGTCCAAGGAGCTTTAAATTAGGACTAAATTAAATGCCGGACTAATGTCGATTTTTCCAGCTTTTCAATACACTCTTATAATCCACGGACGAAATTTTCAACCGAACGAACTCCCTTTCTTTAAAGTTGGACGAAATTGTTGACCGACGAAATTTTCCGCCTGTCCACTAAATAAATAAATAAACCACATGGTGACAGAAAATCAGACTCGGATCGAGAGCCAAGGATTAAAATTGCACAGAGAGGACCATCGGTTGTGCTAAATGTTGCATGCTCCGACTAACCAGTATCACGCTTATTGCCGTTAGGCCACCCTTTGTTAATTCATTGTTTAACGTCCTTTTTTTCGCGAAAAGGTACGCGGGAGGGCGAAAAAAGAAAAGAAAGCCCATTCCAAAAACTGGAAACCCCAATCAAACATTTTGACCAGTGAAGCATGTGATATATACAATATTTCTGGGTCTAACGGCACTTGCAGGCATAGAACAACACTCTTTGATGGTACATTGGAGCACATGCCTGATGAATCCAACAAAACAGGTACATAGCATGGAGTTAGCATGTCATGAATTCATTACATCTGGATTTTTACTAGGACACACACCGTACGATATTTAAAAGCCAACAAAACAAGAAAAAGAACACAAGACAAAGGCATGCCCGGGAGGCAAGATTATAAGTTAAATTAAGGTCATGATCGGCACACTGTGAAACTACACAATCGTGTATTTACAACTTCGCATATTATTGGTACTACTACTTTCTTGTTTTTTTTTCCGGTCGGAGGCAAAAAGGTACGCGGGCGCGGACGTTAAACAACGAAAAAAGAAAGGGTGGCCTTAGCGTTGGACACAAAACGACGACTTGAAAACCTTTGTACTTCTGCTTGAATTAGATGGTGGTAAAGACACACTTGGCAATATGGCAGTAAACACACGCCTGCCCACACACGCTCCCTGGGCTGCAAAGTTCTGGCGCAGCTGTACGTACAGCTGCAGTGGTGTCTTCAACTTCAGTTCTCCTTTGTACTTCAGTAGCAGAAAATGGGGGTCAATGTTGTGGCCGAAAGCCCAATAACGTGGCGCTGATTACCCCCCCCCCCCCCCCCATCCCTTCCAGGGGCATAGGAGGGGCTAGGGAACTGGTACGACCACAGGACGGAGCGGGCTGTGAAGACTGTGAAGAAGGGTACGGGGGTGATCCCCCGTGAACATTTTGTAAAAAAAAGACTCGAAATCCTGTGTTCTGGGTACTTTTGGCACATTTTTTACTTCTGTAAGGCCAGTAATTTTAACGAACATTTAATTTTAACGAGTTAATGGAATTGAAAGAATCGTTAACATTTGAAGTCGTTATGTGCAAAACGATATGTACTTGTACAGTCATTTGTCCGTTTTGAGACAGAATTCGTTAGAATTTCACCTCGCTAACCCACCAAAATCAGGAGATCGTTAACTTTAATTGACGTTAAAATACATGTGTCTGGTCTTACAGTAATTTTTAGTCATAGAACTTTATGCTTCACGTGCAGAAAACTAAGTTGCCGTGAACCAAGTGCATCTAATAGCCGCGTCGAGTCGAGTATGAGTTCTAATAGCCGCGTCGAGTCGAGTATGAGTCAAACTCAAACAAAAGTCAAAGATCTGATGGGTCCCAATTTTTTTATTACGGTTTCGCACGTTCCAGACGGACCGCACATTTCGAAAAGTGGTACGGCCATGGTCGTAGCGGGTGCTGTGCCCCTGCCGTCAAGCTCCAACGTATCACTGTGCAATAAGCCCAGTGCGCATTGACGCAATTTGTACCACGTACACCCCACACAGCCACCTGGGCATGGTCGTCTGGGGTGTGCTGAGCAGTGCATTGCTGATCCCAGCGCGTACTCACATGCATTACTCATACCTTCCGTATTTGGCAATGCGCAATGGGCTTATTCATGGTTCGACTTAGCAACAGCACTGCTACGCCCAGTACAAGACTTATTGCATGTAGCGGTTTGTGGGCACTAAGGAGTGAACCTGCGTGCTGTCGCGTTGCCACGGTCGAGTGAAAATGGTAAACGGCCTACATGTAAAGTAAACCTTTGCGTATAACGACACTCGGCGGCGGGGCATCAAAAAAGTGTCCTTATTCGCGAATTGTCCTAATGCCCGAAGTCTCATTATATGTATTACAGTTAGATGGGACTTTGCTCTGGGCGTGGAAATTCTGTCGTTATTCGCGAATTGTCGTTATATCCGCAGTCGTTGTTAGCGAAGTTGACTGTACATTGCCGAACTGTACTTCACTGTGCGAGGCATTAAAGAGTAGTGAAACTAGCCCCAAGCTTTCCCATCCACGCCCCTCTTTTAGCAGTTTTAAACTTACTGTTGTTGTTGTCGTGGTTGTTGCTGTTGCTGCTTGCTGCTTGCTGTTGCTGCTGCTGTTGCTGCTGCTGTTGCTGCTGCTGCTACGGCTGTTGCTGTTGCTGTTCTTCTTCTTTTGCTGCCAGGGTTTTCTGGACTTCAAGGGCATTCCAGCAGACCGCTGTAAGTATGGTAGTGTATATGCGGACGTTATTGTGTTGCTAAGAGCTGCTGTTGCATAGCATACACGAGAGGGCCGAGACCCACACTGGGTGCCTAGAACCAGTGCGGAGTCCAAGATTGTCCGTGCCGCTCAGGGCAAGTACGAACAATCGAGACCAACGAAACATACATGGGGTGCCTAGAACGATTATGGGGCCCTAAATTGTCCGTGCCGCTCGGAGTGAATACGCGTACGAACATCTGAGACCAAAGCCACGCCAAATCTTGTCTGTTGAAACTATTAGCAAGAGCGAGAGAGACTAAGAGAGAGAGAGAGAGAGACTAAGAGAGAGAGAGAGAAAGAGAGAGAGAGAGAGAGAGAGAGAGAGAGAGAGAGAGAGAGAGAGAGAGAGAGAGAGAGAGAGAGAGAGGGAGTGAGAGAGAGAGGGAGAGCACTTCTCTGCAGAGACCGATCGTCTCGAAACACCAGATCCTGCTTCGCGCACTCTCGATCTTCTCGCTTCCTTCCGTTGTTGCAAGTGGCCGAAAAGAACTGCGTGCTGATGATGAGCCCAAGTGTATCTCCATAATATGAGTGTATTGGATCTTGTGCTGGTCAAGTGCAGCGGTGGCAACTGAAATCCGACCCCTGATTTTCGTGATCGAGTGCAGCACCCATTCTAGCGGTCTCTACTTCTTAGAACACGAGTAACGATGAATCCGAGACCTTTGGTCGGAGGAGTTACTTTTGCCCCGCCCCATTTCCATCCAATATGCCACCGCCCCCGCGGTGCAGCATCTGATGCTTCTGTGGTATTCAGTAAGAATAAAAAATAAAAAAACTGCAAACCGCCCAATATTCGCGTCACTATACTTTTGCGATCTCTCAGAACCGGCGAGTTTACGATGGCAACTGTTCGCGGAGCACTGTGGCCACACATACATACCCACGGATGAAGTTTGATTTCACAATGGTTAATATTCACGTTTTGCTATTCTCGCAAAATTAGCAAACATTGATACGCTGCAAGCATTAGGTAGTTTACAGTATGCGGGTGCATATTGTTTTTTGCGATGTGAGTGCACCGAGCTGGGGTCGGATTTCAGTCGCCATCACTGTATGACGTGGATGCCGTGCCCGTGTGTGTGCATGTGTGTGTGTGTGTGTTTATGTGTGTGTGTGTGCGTGTGTGTGTGTGTGTGTGCGTCTGTGTGTGTGTGTGTGTGCGTGACGTGTGGCGTGCGTCTTGTTTTTTTCATGCCCTGCAGTATTGACGCTGGTGTACGACCTCCAGGTCAGGGCGCGCTTCGACGAGCTGTTCACAAGGTACGAGTGTGTGGAGGATCGTGGAGATCATCGCGTCACCTATGCGTAAGTTCTTTGTGGCAATAGAGAGGTATTCCAGCAGCTACCCAAGGATGGATAGGTTCGGCAAAAACACTCCGCGAGTACCTGACGTTTGCAAACGAATTTTGTTGACAGTTGTCGCTTCTTCCTTCGATTGGGCAAGACCCGATAATATGCCAACCCAGCCAGCAATGAGACACATGCATTTATATCCATCAGGGCTATTGTATGCTTTTAGAGAGTCCGTTGCATATGTGCTGGGGACATTTACTAAATATTTAGAGAGGCCTAAAATATAAATACCCAAGGCAGGGGGATTGGCTGAACGGTCTTCGTCCATAGGTAAATATGGATCAATGCACTGGGACCACGGATTCTGTCAATCTTCTCGCGGCAACGCGTCTTCAAGGCTGGAATAAACAGTAGAGTAACTGCGGCCAGTAATCCTCGCGACTTACCAAAACTAACTATTATCATATTCACCACATAAAGAAAAGCAAAGATTCTAATTATTGCAAAGGTGCTTCACCACCGCATGCAACGGCCTGCAACACCATTTGAACCCGTACACCGAACAACACATTTGATTCTCTTTTTGCCACCCGAGCAGATTTTACCGTAGGTCACGGACTTGTCTTATGGGTGATCTTTGGGTGGACACCGGGAAGGCACCAAAAAGGTGATGTGATGGAAAGTCCTCTATAGGTATACGATACGCACCTCTAGCACTGTGCACTCTGAGCTGTCCATATATGCGACTCAAACCGACCCGCTATGGAGAACACCCAAACCTGCTGCTGGGTCCATCATATAGAGCGATATTCCCCGCTGGGGTCACGAATATTCCCCGGGTCACGCCAGAGTAAATAAGGGAGATTTTAGTGCTGGTCACGCTCTATTTGGGACAGTACATGGGATAAATGGATTATTCCATTTATACTCTGTGTATACCGTGTCCCTTATATTTACCCCCGTGCTGACGCACTCGTGAAAATATTCGGCAGTATAGCCCTCGTACTCTTGGGATAATCCATTCGTGTCCCTTATATTAACCTGCACGTTTTTTTCTGACGTGGCGCGCAATTTTACGTCAAATGCGTCGAAATCTGGCGTAATGCGCCAAATTCCCGACGTGAAATGCAGCTCACTTGCGTTGTTCTCCAGCGCGCAAGCCGAATAACGCGAGCGGAACTTTCGCTTCACGTCAAAATAACGTGCAGCTTAGTTTTAACCGGTCAAACGACCCCGGATAAGGAGACCACCTGGTAGCGAATAGCACGTTCGAATGTCCCTTGACCGGCTGTCTTAGACAGGTTTCACTGTACAGTAAAACCTGTCAAAGCGACCACCTGCTAAAGAAGACCACCTGCTAAAGAAGACCACCTGCTAAAGAAGACCACCTGCTAAAGAAGACCACCTGCTAAAGAAGACCACCTGCTAAAGAAGACCACCTGCTAAAGAAGACCACCTGCTAAAGAAGACCACTGGAACCAGGACCAAGGGATGCTATTTCCAGTCAATTGACCCTGGATACGGAGACCACCTGGTAACAGAGACCACATTTCGAAGGTCCCTTGAGCGGCTGTCTCGGACAGGTTTCACTGTGACTTCACTGGTTCTTGTATGTTGCGTGCAGGGTTCTAAAATTTCCACCAGGCACGTGGAACCGTGATCTTGTCCAGTTCAACACGAAGCGTTCCGAGCCTGAGGAGCACATCGTCCTCTACAAGAATGCAGTGCATGCCTCGCGACCTGTGGATCCCAAAATGGTCAGGTATGTGGCGGCGGCGATGCGATTTAAGCACGGGCATTTTAGTGTTCGATCGTTGGGGCGGGAGTAGTGTGTGCGTGTGTGTGTGTGTGTGGTGTGGTGTGTGTGTGTGTGTGTATGTGTGTGTGTGTGTGTGTGTGTGTGTGTGTGCGCGTGTGTGGTGTAGACCAGGCTGAACAGTGGCGGTCAATTCTTCAGCCTTGCAAACTGTTGAATGGTGCTATCCCAGCACAAGTTGCTATGGCTTCTGGTGCAGCATCGCTATCATCGCCTCCGGCGATGGGCGTCAAATGGTCAATGGAGCGCGTGCGTCCGTGCACACGTGAGCGTGTGTGTGTGTACGCGCATGCTGTGTGTGTGTGGGGGGGGGGGGGGGCTGGATGGTTCAATTCCCGACGACTAAGGTCCCACGCGTCTTTCTTTTTTTTCTTCTTCTCCTGGTTGGTTACCATCGGCCAATGTGTACCATAGTTTGTGGCAGGGTATGTGTATGAAAGAATAGTAGGGATTCATTCACCAGAAAAGACACTTCAAACAGCTGTGTGGTGGAGACCAGGCTAAATAGTGGCGGTCAGTTCATCAGCCTTGCAAGCTGTTGAATGGTGTAATCCCAGGGAAAAATTGCGAAGTCTAACATAGCTTGGTTGCTATCATCATTGCAGCGATGGGCATGTGTAAATATGTGTACGTGTGTGTGTGTGTGTGCCTGTGCGTACGTGCATGCATGTGTGTGTGTGTGTTCGTGTGTGCGTGTGTGTGCATGTATGTGTGCGTGTGTGTGTGTGTGTGTGTGTGTGTGTGTGTGTGTGTGTGTGTGTGTGCGCGCGCATGCACGGGCGTTCATCAATGCATGCTCGTTCGATCGTGTGTCCTACAGGGCCGAGACGATCTTCTCGGGAACTATCATTCGGCCGATGGCCGACGACCCGAATTCGTCGACCCTGACTTTGTTCTTGCAAACGGACGTGAAGGGCTGGATTCCATCGGCCATCATCAACATGATCGCAACCAGAGGTCCCAACAGGTGGCAGCATTCCTTGGCCAACTTCTACCACGGAACGTACAAGAAGGAATTGGAGAGTGAGATATGATCTTGGCTGCAACAGCCGGACTGGTAGTTGTAATATTACAACACCTACCGCAGACAATGTAGTTCTCAAGTATTACAACACTTTATACCCGTGACAAGCTCTCCACCTGCCTCTCCTTCTCCCTCTCCATTGTGTGTGTTCCTTGTCGCCCGCATCTGTTCGCTCACGTATCCAGGTTGTAATTGTACGCTGTCGCTTACGCATTACAAATGCATAGCATGCGCGCATGATTGCGAATTTACTAACACTAGGAATTTCGGCACGGCCTTTCGCACCGTCCCTCTTCAAAGTCGGTACCTAATTGGCGATGCAGGCAGCAGCAGCAGCACACAAGTCTGCGTGTCCAGCTTGTAGGAGCGCAGCCGGTGGGACCGTCCGACTAGCAATCGACCGATCATGGAAACATCCCTGTAGGTGTACGATGGTGACTTGCTATTCGTCCCGTTTCCAGTCGTCAGATCCGCATTGTCCTCGCAGCATTACCGACCTCTCCAGTTGTATTCCAGCCGTTTCGCTATGCAGCTACGAACGGGCACACGCTGAATGCAGTCCCCCCCCCCCCCCCCCCCCTCCCTCACTAGGCATTCACCGCATGCAGGTGGCTGTGAACAGTGACAGCCGTGCGTCAACTGCATGCCATGCATGCCTGCGGGTGGAATGCGTAGACAGGCCATCATGATCCTGTGTTCGAGATGCAGCGGCTGCTTCCTCCTCCTCGTAGGTTTCGCCACTACAGATTCATTCTTTTTGGTCTATACCACGCGTCCATACACCAGCCCCCGCCGCACACACACACGCCCGACACACACACATACACACACATACACACACACACACACACACACACACACACACACATACACACACACACACACGCGCGCACATGCACACGCACGCACACACACACGCACACATAATTGCGTGCAGCGCTACAGGCTTCCGGACATTACAGAACATTTTGATGCTATCAGAATCGTTACATTCACATTCATTTGAGTTTTACGTATTAGGGAAGAGAAGCGTACTTGCGTTTATGCCGGTAAGAATGCTCTTGACTTTTGCGAACCCTCTTGTGGTCACTGCGGTGTGTGTGTGTGTGTGTGTGTGTGTGTGTGTGTGTGTGTGTGTGTGTGTGTGTGTGTGTGTGGGTGCATGTGTGTGTTAGTGGGGGGGGGGGGGGAGTAAAGAAAGAAAAAATATCGATACTACATACCATTTGTATGTGTTCGTTTCCCGGGGGGGGGGGGGGGGGGAGGGGGTTGGAGAGAAAATAATGACTAGTTTTCGTTTTTGGTATGGATGGTGTTGTCGTCGGGGGGGGGGGGGGGGGGTAGTTCCATGTCGCGCACGTTTCCGACAAATTTGTTTGTGTATAGGTAATCTGACCCAGTCGGCCGATTTCACGTCGGAGTCTGTGCCAGAGCATCGGCCGAAAAGTCAGCCAAGTAGTGTAGACCAGGCATTAGGCCTTATAAGTAGGCTGATTTGTCGCCTGATGCTCTGACACCGAATACATAAATCAGGCGACTGCGACGATGTCGGACTACAGTGCAAATTGTTATCTCTCTCTCTCTCTCTCTCTCTCTCTCTCTCTCTCTCTCTCTCTCTCTCTCTCTCTCTCTCTCTCTCTCTCTCTCTCTCTCTCTCTCTCTCTCTCTCTCTCTCTCTCTCACACACACACACACACACACACACACACACACAACTACTATACTAGTGCAAAGATCTTTTTTGAAAAAGCAACGATAACGTGATCCAGCAAGATGAATAGATAAATCCAAAGTCAACGCATGCTCGAGTTGAATAGAAAAATCCAAAATCATACAACGCATGCTCACAGGCAATTATCACTGAGTCGCGGTCACCAGATCACTACTATCAATGCAGATCATTATTTAACCAAAGCGCAACGAAATTGCAGGCTAAAATTCGCCACAGAACGCCTACGCAAATATGATGCCCGGCAACCGCGGAAACACTGGTGATGACCACCTGCCCAGAACGAAAGAGATCTTGCATGTCCAACGGCAACCAAATCCTTTTTAAAGATTTTTGGCATGATCAAGTTCTTTTGAGGAGCATAAAATGGCATCCGAAAAACAAGGGCAGATGCCCAATGAGGCTGTTATATACACACCTGCTATTGAAGGACCATAATAATTATAGCACCGCTTCTTGTCGATTTGGAATAATATTTAGCAGCCACTATAGGACATCTCCCAAAAGTTCAGCGTTTGCTTGTGAATTTGGTATTGAATAATCATGATAATTCCTGTTGCATATTATTATTGTCTTGGACTGCCACAAAGGCTCCCAGTCCACATCATGACAATGTCCTGTTTTCATGACGATTACCTGAAGCATATACATGTACATGCACGTCATGTAAAAGCATAATTGGCTGTTTTCTCTAGCATCCTGCGAGCATCCGCTAGAGCATAATCTGGTCATTTCCCGAGCATAATCCGCTTACCGGGCCCTAATATTCACGCCCACAGAAGCCATTGCAAGCAATGGTACATGGTACTGAGGACCAAAGATGTACATGTAAATGCACCTCTCTTAATTAACCGTCACATTCACTACAAGCTGCAGATATGATCTCTTCTTCTGGCTTTCATTCCTAGACATTTGTGCAAGAAGTAGTTATTAGGCCATGGTAAAAAATAAAGTTAGTTGATTCTCAGGTCATGAGCCTGTGAAAATCGGTGCGATCGTGCGAGTGAGCGATTTATTTTATTTTATTTCCCACAATTTTTTTTATTTCCAAAGATTCATGTAGCTAGTACGTAGGGCCTAGGGCCTAGGGCCAGGTCACACATGTTTTTTTTGTTTTTTTTTGTTTTTTTGAAAGAAAAAGAAAAAAGGCCCAACCCTGCCCGGCCAGCTATTTGGACTTATTAATATTATTAATTTTTAATATAGCTATGAATAGGATGAAGGCCGCAGACATCACGCAACTACGTTACTTGTTTGACATGTATTACTGTGTAGTTTATAACAAAAATATTATTGAAAACCCAGAATCGATTTTCTCGTTCCTATCATCAGTGGGAAAAAACGGAACTAAGGATACAACCAAAGAAACTGAAGTTAAGTTCTGTAAATAGAAAGGTGTTAGAAATAACATCAAGATACAAGTGCAATAAAACCACTGGAGGAAACGCAAAAAAGGTAACAAGATTACATAACCAAAGGCGAGAAGGCACTGAACGAAGTGTCAACCTACGAATACAACTTCAGTGCAACAATGTGCTCTTTCTGCTTACACAAAACAGGCTTATGAATACGTATACAAACTGCCTCTAGGACTTTCAACTGTTGGACATAACGCGCACGACACAGTACTGAAAAATGAGAGTCATCATACACACCAAGACAGTCAGGACGAGATAACAAGTGTAGATACACAGCCGACTTCTTACGATCAACACATTCATCCGCCTCATCTCGCTCCTTCCCACCCGACTCCTCCTCGTCCATCTCATCGTCATCTTCCTCGTTCCGCTCGTCATCCTCACGATCATCATCACCACCATCATCTGCCTCGTCCTCTGTCTCCTCACCAACCGTTTCGTCATCCAATTCCTCTTCCATCCTCTGATCATCCGTCCCATCCTCCGTTTCAGTACAGACCACTTGTCTCCCATTTGCTAGCTGCTCGTCCCTTGAGCGGAGTTGTTCCTTGTTCCTCCAGATCCGCTTCACTCACTGACTCATGATACTGCTCGACCCTCCTCCTGTTGGTACTGTCCACAACGCGCGGTCCCTGGCCGTTTCTGGCATAGATCTCTGTGGAGTAGTTTGCTGTTGCCCTCCGAGGTCTCTGGATTAATGTGGGCGGCGTGGCAATTCGTGTGAGAGTTGGTGATGCCAGCGCGAGTGTAGGTGGGTCCACCCCAGCCCCCGCCACAAGAAGAGCCGGTGGCGGTTCTGGTGGTGGCAAGGGCGGCGGTGGTGCTGCTGGAGTTGGCAACTTGGGCAGCCTAGCTCTCCCACACGGCACCGCATTCTGTGTTGGCTCAGTCTGTACCACTGGCACAGGGGGTGGGTTCTTGAGCGGTCGGCCACGCTTCGGCCGCTTGGATTTAGCTGCATCCGGTAGAATATGCAGCGGTACATGCTGTTTGATACGTGCGGTCAGGTGTTGAAGGGTCCTACCAACGTACCGGCTACCACAATTCCGGCACTCAAATTGGTAAACCAAATGGCTCAAAAGATGGAATGGTAGGACGTCCTTCCTCACCATGAACGCACGTATCGTCGTGAATACAGGAATGAAATGTGCTGCGAAGTATGTTTTCATTACTAGCGTCTTGACTGCGCGGCACATGGTCAGCGATGTGTTTCCTTTCCAAGGCAAACAAAGATAAATTGGGCATCGAGCAGGACCAACACTCACTTCTTTCGATTTGTCTGCTGTTTTCATTAGTTTATTGAGTACATCTTCAGGGTATCCGTTCTTTAGAAACACAGACTTTAAGTATTGTAACTCCTCGCTGAGTTTACTTGGCGAGCAAATGCGCCGTGCCCTGTCAACTAGGTTCCGCACCAAATTCACTTTGTACTGGTAGGAGCAGTACGAATCATACACAATATACTGCCCGGTGAACGTGGGCTTTCTGTATACGGAGGTAATGATATCATCATTCGATTTCTCAACCAATACGTCAAGAAACGAGAGTTTATTGTCGTGCTCATGCTCGCATGTGTATTTTAGAGACGGATGTAAGCTATTCAGATGATGAAGGAAGTGGTCGCACTGCTCCGTGGAATCAAAATACGTAAACGAGTCGTCAACGAACCGGACATACAGCTCAGGCCACAGCGACTCATCAATCAAGGACTCACAGTAACCAACAAAAATGTTTGCGAGCACTGGACCAAGTGGAGAGCCCATGGCTACTCCATCCACCTGTCGATATATAACATCATCAAACGAAAACTCTACGCCCGTCGTGACGAGGGACATGAGTTTACGAAAGGAAGGTTCAGGTATCCATGGTGTGTCAACGTCGCTATTACGATACAGTACATCTGAACATATGTCAATGGTCTCTTCTAAAGGCACATTCGTGAACAAACTCACTACATCGAAGGAACACAAGTGTGCATTGGAAGGAACTTTGTGGGTGCGTAGGAGATCTACGAACTCGAAGCTGTCTTTTACATTGTGCTTACAATAATGATTTTGTACGGCTCCCAAGATAACACAGAGCCACTTTGATACTTTGTATTGCGGTGAAGCCACCATCGATAATATGGGGCGCAGAGGACAATTGGCCTTATGTATTTTTGGGAGTCCATATAGACGCGGACGGGCGGAGCCTATTGGTTTTATTCTCAGGAACTCCGAATTGGTGATTTCATTATCAGATTTTAATTTCTTTAGATACTGAATCAGAGCTTTCTCGACTTTAACAGTTTTATCATGGGTTGAGACTGGACCGAGTGTTACTTGGAGTCATCGTTCAAGATGACTGCCATTTTGGATGTTTTTTTTATTTTTTTTATTTTTTTTTATTTTTTTTACAAAGACCACTTAATGATGTGTATTCTTCTCTACTCATGATGACTGTGGCACGGCCTTTATCTGGTCGGGTAATGATGATATCATGGTTTGTACTAAGTTCACGTCGTGCCTTGAGATGTTCTCGGGATAAATAGAACCCGCTCCGGTCAGGAGGTTTCGCCGCATGTTCTTCGGCAAGCGCCCTGAGGCTGGCACTGCACACAGCCTGTTGGGCTTCCGATATGGGAGTGAGCTGTTTCAGTTTCTTGTAGAACAACTCAAACTCGGTCAGTATGACTTCCTTCTTGTCACTAACAGGAGGAATACCGAAGTCCGTGCCCCGGCACAGCAACTCCTTTTGGACGGTAGTTAGCTCAATGTTGGTGCGGTTAATGATTGTATCTGTATTGATCTGTATTGACCCAAAACGTTTAGTGCGCAACCACTTGAGATTCTTATCATACTTCACAATAAGCCTAGTTTTTAGTTTGTTGTCATTGTCGGCAATAAGTGAGCTAAACCTAAGGTAGTCATGATCGGAAAGGAACGAGCG